CTTTCTCCCTGTGCTGCTCCTCTCCCGCGCTCTTCTCCCTCCGGACTCTGGGTCTTCCTCCCGGTGCTGCTCCTCTCCCGAGTTCTGTCTCCGGACTCCAGGTCTTCTCCCCGTGCTGCTCGTCTCCCGAGTTCTTCTCTGGACTCGGAGTCTTTATCTCTGTGCTGCTCCTCTCCCGCGCTCTTCTCCCTCCGGACTCTGGGTCTTCCTCCCGGTGCTGCTCCTTCCCCAGTTGTTCTTCCTCTGGACTCCGGGTCTTTCTCTCTGCTCTGCCCCTCTCCCCAGTTCTCTCTCTGGACTCTGGATCTTTCTTCCCTCGCTGCCCCACTCCTCAGTTCCTTCCCCACTCCCCCCACCGACGCCGTCTTTCTCCCCGCTCTGCTCCTCTCCCGAGTTCTTCTCCTTTACGACTCCAGGTCTTTCTCCCCACACTGCTTCTCTCCCGAGTTCTTCTGTCTCCGAATTCTGGGTCTTCCTCCCTGTGATGCTCCTCTCCTGAGTTCTTCCTCCTGCGGACTCCGGGTCTTTGTCCCCATGCTTGCAGCCTCCTTTCCTTTCATCCTCACCCCGGAGTGAGGACCTCTCTCGCTCTTTGCACAGAATCCACCTTTCTTCTCGGTGGCTCTTGGGGGGACCTGCAGTGGGTTGTGCTCAGTCATTGCACCGTATAGGCATATTTCTTTTGTTTTGGATTCTTTTGCTTCCTGAATCTGAGGATCTGTTGGTCACTGTGGGAAATTCTCAGTCGCTGTTTCTTAACACTTCCTTTCTGCCCCTTCCTCTGGGACTCCGGTCTTCCTCCTTTCTCTTAGTCTTGTCTCTACTCCACATGGGTAACTTCCTTAAGTGACTTTTTTTAGGACATTAATCAGTTCTCAGGTGAGGTTGGTTCAGCCATCCACTGAGATGTTAGTTTTGGTCAAAGTGTTTTTATCTTTAGAAGTTGCGTCTGGTTAACTTCAACACCCTTCTGTCTGTACCCTGTTGTCCCCCCTTTTTTTTATCTTTTATGATTTTAGACACACATATTTCCGTTACCCGTCCATCATTCCACTGCATTTTTAGGGCCTGGTTGTGTCCTTTGTTGCAGCCCCACCTGCTGAAGTGTTTGCTGTGAGCACTGCCCTTCCTCTTCCTTGCCAGGCACATCTTGGGGGGCCCAGCGTCTGGGCCCTGGGGTGAAGCCTTGTCCTGGGAAGATTCCCTTTCGTACTGCTGGGTGCCCGTGCTGCTGGGACTCCACAGTCACCTTCAGTTAACTTTATCCTGCGGGTTTCCTGCCACACTGCTGGTCATCTGGAAGGCAGCTGTGACCTTCTACTTGTGACTCTGCTCAGGGCTTTTCCCTGTTGTCTCCTGCAGACACTGCTGCCTCCCGAGTACATTCGCAGACCCGGGATACCCACTTCTCTTTGCCCTGTCTGTCCTCTGTTGTCAGGAGGCAGGTGACCCAGCACCCAGCAGCCAGCAGCTGCCTGGACAGGCGTAGCTGGATACCAAGAACTCAGTGCCTGCGATGCATAAATAACCCCGGGGGTTAACTTTCAAATATTCTGTTAATAGAATTAACAGGGCGAGCTTAGATTTCGCAAAGTGGCAAGCAGATGATAAACAGGTTTTCAGATAAGGTATGTAAGATTCTTTTTCTGCAGTGTTGGAGTCAAATAGATGTCTGACCTCACAAAGGTCCGCAGTGCCAGATTGAGGAGTTAGTGAAGTATGTGTGAGGAGGCGTCCAGAACCGCCAGGGGAGTCCTGCTGCTGCGCCGGCCTCACCCCGCCCTTCCCGCAGGTGAGCATCTGCCTGGAGTGCAACAGCAGCAAGCTGCGGGGCCTGAAGCGCAAGTGGATCCGCTGCTCCGCCCAGGCCACCGTCCTGCACCTCAAGAAGTTCATCGCCAAAAAGCTGAACCTGTCGTCCTTCAACGAGGTGAGCGCCGGGCCCTGAGTGGAAACTGTCACAAGTTCTCTCTTACTTGTAAAAGCGACACTTGTAATATTCTTTGGGCTGTTGCGTTTTTTTTTTAACAACTTTGGAGATTTTAACCAGAAAAAAATCAGTTTGTTTTGCCTGTCCACCAGGAAGTGGGGTAGGAGACGGGACCGTTCAGGGTCACTGTGAGTGGAAGTGAGAACTGGGGCGGGTTGATGAGACTGTTTTAAAATACATAAAGGTTTTCCTTACAGCAAGAAACTGTTTTGGGGGTGTGTGTGTGTGTGTGTGTTTTGAGAGGGAGTCTCTGTCGTCAGACTGCAGTGTAGTGGTGTGATCTCGGCTCACTGCAACCTCTGCCTCCTGAGTTCAAATGATTCTCCTGCCTCAGCCTCCCAGGTAGCTGGGATTACAGATGCGCCCCACCACACCAGCTAATTTTTGTATTTTTTTGTAGAGATGGAGTTTCACCATGTTGGCCAGGCTGGTCTCAAACTCCTGACTTCATAATCCACCCGTCTCGGCCTCCCAAAGTGCTGGGATTACAGGCATGAGCCACCATGCCAGGCTGAGAAATTCTGTTGTTTAATTTCAAAAGGAGAGACATGGGCAGATGGAGAGAGGGAGGACCCTTCCAGGCTGTGGTGGGTAAGGAGATGGAGTGCTGGCGTGAGGCGGACTCAGTGGCCAGCGCACCATGAACATACCAGCACAGGTCCCTGTGAGCCCCCAAGGCAGTGACACTGCCAAGATGCAGGCGCCAGCAGGGTCCACCTCCGCATGGAGAGAAGGCACTGGTGGCTCTGAGCAGGAGTGTGGGTCTGAGGGGTCCAGCTCTGCACAGAGAGAAGGCTCTGACAGCTGTGGGCAGGAGTGTAGGTCTGAGCGGTCGTTTTTGAAAAATCACTCAGGCTGTGCAGAAACGGACGCAGGAGAGGACTGTGGTGGGGTGGTCAGGGTGGAGAAGTGGACACACTGGAGATGCTCTCTGGAGCTGCAATGGGCTCAGCAGTGGCCCCAAAAGATAAGCCACATCCTCACCCCTGAAGCCTGCCAATGGGACCTTATTTGGAAAAGGATCTTTGTAGATGTAGTTAAGTGAAGGATTCTGATATGGAATAATCCTGGAATATCTGAGTGGAGCCTAAATCTCATGACAACAAGTGAGGCAGAGAAAGACTCCAGGCATAGAGAACAGGAGGCCCTGGTGAGGACAGAATGGAGGCTGGAGTGGAGGCTGGAATGGAGGCTGGAGTGGAGAACAGAGTGGAGGCTGGAGCAAGGCAGCCTCAAGGCGAGCCAGATAGCACCTGGGCCACCAGCAGCTGGAAGCCAGGGCAGGCTCCCCTACTGTGGTTCGAAGGCATCCCCCAGATTCTTATGTTGGAAGCTCCATCCCCAGTGGACAGTGTTGGAAGTTAGGGCCTTGGGGAGGGGCTCAGGCCCTCAGGACCTGCCCCACGCACAGATTAATGCTGCTGTGGAAAGGGCTGGCCGGCGTGGGTTCTCTCTCTTGCAGCAGAGGCCCTCATAGGTGGCAATGTGGTGACCTTGAATGCCCCAGCTTCCAGAACTGTGCCGAAATAAATTTCTATTTTTCATAAATCCCCAGTGTGTGGCGTTCTGTGGCAGTAGCACAGAATGGACTGTGCTTCTCCCAGGAGCCTGTAGAGGGAGCGGCCCTATGGGCTCCAGGGCTGAGTACATTTCTGCTGGTTGAAGCCACTGCCGTCCTTGTGGTAATTTCCATGGTAGCCCCAGGAGACTAATTCAGAGAAAACCGCAATAAGTTGCTGATGCATTTGTGCTGCGACGCAGAGAAAAGGAAGGGGTTTGGAACGCCTGCAGGGCTGGGGCTGCTTGGCAGGGGGTATGGCGTCTCAGGACAGGGTGGGTGGGCTGTTCTCGTGACACAGAGCAGAGTCTGGGAGTGTCAGGGCCTTCATGGACTCGTCAGGAGCCAGTGCCAGCCTTGAGTGTCCCACAGGTTGGCCAGGGATACGGACAGCAGACACGGGGTGGGGGAGACTTGGTGAGCATGGGCTGCCTAGAGCCTGGGGAGAAACCAGAACATGGTGGGGAAGGGGGAGGAGGAAATGGAGAAAGGCTTTTGGCTAAGTTTCTGTTGTTTTGTTTGCTTTTCTGTGTAGCAAAACAGAAAAGATGGATGGTAGCTGGGGATGGAGCGGGCCAAGAAAGTCCTTGGATGTTCACATGAGGTGGAGTGGGAAGCTGCAGGGCAGTGGGGAAGAGGTGGCCATTTCCCTGTACAGGGCTGGTTCCTCCGAGGGAAGAGTGAGAGGTTTTCGTTGTTGCTGAGACTGTGCCTCTCAGAGCCTGCCAACCCAGCCACTCAGGCAGATGGGGTGCATCAGTCTAACCAAGGGAGGAATCTGAAGAAATGTAACACCATGGGAAACACAAGTAAAACCATGGGGCACTATGCGCACCCCGTAGAATGACCATAATCCCAAGCACTGACAACTCGTCTGCAAACGCCAGGAACACAGGTTCATTCCTGCGGGAGGCAGCACGTGCAGCCCCTGTGGAGGACAGCTTGACAGATGCTGACAAAACAAAACACACTCTTCATAAACCACCAGCAGCCATGCCCTTTGCTGTTTACCGATGTGAAATCTGCCCACACCAAAACTGGCACATGGCAGTTTATAACAGCTTTCTTCATAATTGCCAAAACTCAGAAGCAACTAAGATGTCCTTCAGTAGATGAGTGGGTAAATAAACTGTGGTGCATCCATGCTGGAATATGACCCAGCACTGAAAAGAAACGAGCGGTCGGAATAGACTGTGGTACGTCCATAGTGGAACATTACCTGGCACTGAAAAGAAACGAGCAGTCGGAATAGACTGTGGTACGTCCGTAGAGGAATACTACCCAGCACTGAAAAGAAGCGAGCAGTCGGAATAGACTGTGGTACGTCCGTAGAAGAATAGTACCCGGCACTGAAAAGAAGCAAGCAGTCGGAATAGACTGTGGTGCGTCCGTAGAGGAATACTACCCGGCACTGAAAAGAAGCGAGCGGTCGGAATAGACTGTGGTGCATCCGTAGAGGAACATTACCCAGCACTGAAAAGAAACGAGCGGTCGGAATAGACTGTGGTGCGTCCATAGTGGAACATTACCTGGCACTGAAAAGAAACGAGCAGTCGGAATAGACTGTGGTACGTCCATAGAGGAATACTACCCAGCACTGAAAAGAAGCGAGCAGTCGGAATAGACTGTGGTGCATCCGTAGAGGAACATTACCCAGCACTGAAAAGAAACGAGCAGTCGGAATA